TTTCTCTACCTGCTCTTTCCCATGCATAATCTTATAAACCTCAATCATGTCGTCATTTCTCCAAGCTAAAGAGCCCTAAGCGCCTTAACCTTTCCTCATAGGGAAAGTGTTCCAACCCATTTATCATTTGAGTTGCCCTTTTCTGCACTTTTTCCAAAGCTATAATATCCTTTTTAAGGTGTGGTGACTGAGGGTCCTTCCCTCAGTGCCGGCGTGTAAATGAGGGGCCGGAGGGGAAAGCCATGGGCTGGCGCAATCACACCACAGGAGTCTGGAGGCAGCCCGTGGCAAACCGTTTACCAGTACTTTGGAAGTACTACTTTTTTAATGCACATTTTCGGCGGTAAGCCACGGGTGTGCTCCACTTCCCAGATGTTGGGGTGTGATTGCGCCCGGATAATCCGCCCACCATCCGTGCCTCTCCCGTGGCAACTTTGCCGTGTGACCGGGGCCCAGGATCTGCAGTTTCGAAAGCTAGTCAGCAAATCCATTGACAGCTCTCGGACTTTAAAAATCCCCGAGCAGCTTGAAAGGAAATATTTGCAATTGCAGCCACTTCTCTCTGCTGGTGAATTAGTTGACATGCTTTCTCCAAAGCTCTCCTACTCTCTGGGTGTCCAGTGAACCCCCTCTCACACTCAGGAGATCTGAATATGGAGTGGAAGGTGACCTTCCCCTTTTTAGAAAGCCAAAAGAGGTACAAAAATGTAGTCTCTGAGTAAATACAGTATGCATATATCATGTTTGTGCTACATGACTGGATATTGTGCTATCAATGTGTGATTGCAATGATTTTCAACTAGATTGGATTGTCTAAATAATCCCATCACAAAGTATTGCTATACCACAAGGATTAACATTCTCTCAAAGACTAATAAATTGCAATTTAGGGTTCCGGCCGACGAGGGAGGGCGTCTGAACTGCAGCGCTGCCTGATCAGAACAGTATTTTAACTTTATTTTATATCCATTTAATTGCTTTTAGGCTATTTTGTATGGAATTTTAAAAAGTGAACTGTTTATCTTTTGTGTGAGAAAGTTTTGAGAGCCGTTAGCTTTTTGACTCCAATTTGTTTGCCTCACTATAATTTACTCTGGAACTGGGAGACGGTTAGCCGGTTTTGCTATGATAAAGAGAGAACACAAAGAAACTCTCTTAATTAAGAGGGGTTTTTTTTTACGTTTCCCTCTCTTCATGCATTATAATGCCTGCAGAGAAACGACCAAGAGATATAGAGGAGGCTGCTCTATTTCCAGCCTCCAAACAACCCAAGATTAATATGTTGTCGAAGGATAATCCAGGATCAGCTATACCACAAGGATAGCACAATAACTAACAAATGAGGATGCAGGCTTAGATTATCGACTATGGGGCCACTGAACAAATTTGCACAATTTTTTCTCTACTCCAGCACTGACTGTTAATACCAGCTACTCAGTGCATGTTGCAACTTTACACCAGGAATTAAATTAAAAACCCCTCTAACAATGTTCTCTCCTTTGATTCCTTACCAAAATTCTATTTGACAAACGGATATCTACTAGCACTGTGGCTTCCTGAGACACAATTTACGTACGCCATCTTTCATCTCCTTATTCCTCAGCGTGTACATAAGGGGATTTAAGAGAGGGGTCACTGCAGAATAGCACGTGACCAACACTCCATTAAAGGAGTCCAGAGATGGTGGACGTATGTAGTTGTATATTGCAGGAACATAATATATCACCACCAAAGTGATATGGGCAGTGCAAGTGGAGAAGGCATGCCGTCTCCCTGTAGAAGTGGGAATCCTCAAGTTGGCAGAGATGATATATATATAGGATGCCAGAATCAAGAGGAAGCAGGCCATACCCACAAACCCAATGTCAATCAATATCATCTCATTGATCAATGTGTCTGCACAGGCCAACTTCAAGTGGAAGGTAAGAGAGGAATGTATCACACCATGGATGGAACCTGCAAAGTTGAAGTGTTGACCTTGATTGGCCCTGGGACAATTCATACAACCGTGATGAGATTGTGAACACTTTCCAGAATGTTCTAAGTTGTGATATTGAGATGTGTTGGAACATTAATGTGATGGCTGAACATAAAAAAAATGGGATACGCATATGGCAGGCAATTAATTTACATTAAACTCTGAGTATGGGGAGATTAGAGATTGTAACTACTGGTTTCAAGGTAAATACATACCTGAGTGTGCCTTTCATACATTGAATAAATGCTAACTGGAGTTTCCTGAAGCAGTCATGTTGAGTTATCCTTAAGCATTAAAAGGAAACACGGTTGAATCCATTTAGGCTTTTTACTCAATCTTGCCCAAATCCACTTCTTACTATAGCTCCCATCCCACAAGGCTTTTGTACATGCAGGTCCCATGATCCTGAGCATAGCCTTTTTGGGTACTGAGAACAAGGTTTTGTAGTGACAGTTTATGCTTTGTGTCTCATTGGCAGCAGGTGATAACTGGTGTAATAAAAGATACAATGGCCCCGGTCACACGGGCAGGAAACTGCAGAGGAGAAGCGTGGCTGTTTGCCCTGGGGCAAACTACTGCACAGTTACGTGATCAGACCTCCTGTGGAGGTTCCATGGAGGTTCCATGGCAAGGGAGAGGTGCCGATCACAGGACAAGCCGGCGCGCAACGAAGAAGCGCACGCCGCGGCAAACTGTTTTTTATTTTTGTGTACATGACAAATGCGCATGCTCCGTTGGGTGCGCATGCGCATCCACAGAGACTTGGACAAAAAACCCCCACCTTATTTGCAAGGGGACATGGGCGGGCGCCGGATGCCACCGGAAACGCGATCAGACGCCCGCCCTTGCCCCGCAGTTTCCGGAAACTAGTACCTCCGAGGTACTAGTTTTTTGCCACGCAGTTTCGGCTGGAAGCCTCGGTTGAGCCACGGGAGTGCTACGCTTCCCAGATGTGCTGGTGAGATCGCGCCCTTCTTCCGTCTTTGATGTATCTTCTTTCTTCAATTATCTTTTAGTTTTTATAAGTCCGGATCTGTCCATTCATGATATAAACCAAGTTCCTTTTTTCCTGGGAGACCTTCGCTTCCTTAAATGTCTTAGATCAAAAGAGTTTTTCCTTTTGTTGCAATTACAACACGCTCATTGGAGAGTCTAACCTTTCTCTTAGTAAGCAGATCAATAAAGTTAGGGTAGCAAGCCCTTTACTCCAAAAAAACACTTTTCTATCAGCTTGCCAGTCCAGCCACAAAAAACTAAACTTAGAGTCTCCTTGCCATTCATACGTCTCTATGATCGTACTGTCCGTAGCTGTTTTTAGTACAGATCCAGATTGCTTCTCACTTTAGCTACCAGAGGGCCCACGATTTACTTTAAACACAGAGTCTATGGTTAGGTCACAACCTAACTTTCCACTATCCTCCTTTCTGAAGAAAGCATTGGTCCCGCCTCCCTCTTTGCCTCTCGTCGCCATCTTTTGGGGAAGTTTACATCAGCCGAGAAAGAATGCCAAAGTCTCTAAAGTCTGTTTAAACGCTCTGCTTTCTTTGAGAAAAACTCTCTGCTACAGTCCATCGCCACAGTTTGATCAGTCCCTCCCTCCTTGCTTTCGCATTTGCTTAAAGTGTCGGGAGATAGGGCATCCCCTCCCCCCTTCGTTTATACGCTTATAGTAGAGGGACTTCATTTCTAGGCTTTAGTGTCTTGTTTCAACGACAACTCACTCATCAATCCTTGAATCGATCCACCAGGTCCTAAGATGGCCCCTGGGATCACGCCAGGCAGAGAAAATCGCTAAACCTCCAAATGCTTGTTCCGGTGGTCGCTTCTAATCCAGTACTGGGAATCAGGGCAGGACCTTCAGGGCAGAGAGTAGCCCCCCTGTACCGGCTACTGGCCGGAGGTAGGGCTCTCCAAAGCCCCCTGGCTAGAAGCCCATTGCCTATGGGCTCCATGGGGGAGCGTGCACAATCACGCTCCCTCCTAATCCCCTATTCATGGCACACGTCTCTCCGAGGACCCCAGAGACGCCACCATCATTCAAAGCACCAAAGACTGGAAGCTCGATGATTGCAATAATTTGAATTGGATTACGCATGATAATCTCATTGCAAATGATTGCTGTACCACAAGAATAGGACAATATTCCGCAACATGAAGATGCGGGCTATGTGGCCATTGAACAAATTGACTATGTGGCCATTGAACAAATTGACTATGTGGCCATTGAACAAATTGAATATGTAGCCACTGAATAAATTTGCAGTTTTTTGTATATTCTTGCCCTGACTGTTAACACCAGTTACTCAGCAAATGATGCAACTTTACGACAGAAATTAACTATAAAAACCCCTCTAACAACATTCTCTTCTTTGGTTTTTCGCTAAAATTATATTTGACAAACAGATCTCCATTAACACTGTGGCTTCCTGCTGCATAATTTACGTACACCATCTTTCATCTCCTTATTACTCTGGGTGTATATGAGGGGATTTAAGAAGGGAGTCACTGCAGCATGGCCATTGAACGAATTGAATATGTAGCCACTGAACAAATTTGCAGTTTTCTGTATATTGTGGCACTGACTGTAAACACCAGCTACTCAGTGAATGTTGCAACTTTACACCAGGAATCAACTAAACAGCCCTCTAACAATGTTTTCTTCTTTGGTTTGTCACCAAAATTATGTTTGACAAATGGATTGTGGCCTCCTGCTGCATAATTTACGTACACCATCTTTCATCTCCTTATTCCTCAGCGTGTATATGAGGGGATTTAAGAAGGGAGTCACTGCAGCATAGAACATGACCAACACTTCATCAAAGGAGTCCTGAGATGGTGGACGTACATAGTTGTATACCACAGGAACATAATAGATCACCACCAAGGTGATATGGGCAGTGCAAGTGGAGAAGGCACGGTGTCTCCCTTTAGAAGTGGGAATCCTTAGGATGGCAGATACAATATATATGTACGATGTCAGAATCAAGAGGAAGCAGGCCATAGCCACGAACCCAATGTCAATCAATGTTACCGTCTCGTTGATCGATGTGTTTGCGCAGGCCAACTTCAGCATAGCAGGGATGTCACATAAGACGTAGTTCACCTGGTTTCTCCAGCCATATGGCAAGTGGAAGGTAAGGGAGGAATGTATTGCACCATGTACGGATCCTCCAAACCACGTGCCAGCTGCAAGGCAGAAGCAAACTTGGTAGTTCATGATAGTGCCATAGTGCAGTGGTTTACAGATGGCCATGAAGCGGTCAAAGGCCATCACAGTATACAGGAAGCATTCCGTACAGCCCAGGAAGTGGAAGAAGAAAAGCTGGGTTACGCAGCCTGCAAAGGAGATGACCCCATTGCCTCCTATCAGCCAAGTGACTAATTTGGGTAACACAACTGAGGAGACCATCATGTCCATCATGGACAAGTGACAGAGGAACCAGTACATTGGCTTGTGCAAATGAGGTTCTAGTGCCACCACTAAGAGGATCAAGCCATTTCCGGAAAGGGACAGTATATACATGAGGAGGAGGAAGAAGACAAACAGGAATTTCAAGTCTTTGGGATAAGGGAATCCTAAAAGTTCAAAGTTCTGAAACATTGTTGTTGCGTTTTCACATCCTTTTATTGCAGCACTGATCATTGCAGAACGAAATGTATGTTAGCAATCCACAATTACTAGAAAGAAGAGAACACATTGTTAATAATTATTGTTTCTTTTACCTCTTTTGCATTCTCTTTTGGTCAAGACTTCGGTCATATAGACCCGTAATAAACCGAATCTGTAATTTCTGGCAAAATATAAGGAATATAATAAGAAAAATGTTAAATATTAACCTGAAACTCTGTCCAGAGATTTATCTGTTAAATATAATCCCCAAGGAATATAAAGAAAATGATGTGTATGTATTAACTTATACTCTCACGGCAGCAAGAATCCTAATAGCTAAGTTTTGGAAACAGAAGAAAATACCAACAAGTAAAGAACTAGCTATAAAACTACTAGAGATAGCAGAAATGGACAAATTAAGTATAATATTACAAGGGAAAGAAAGGGAAAGAGGATAAAGTCTTTCAAGAAAGATGGGCTAAGGTATACAAATGGATAAAGGAAAAGAATAAATAATAGACTCAAGAATATCATTTATGTAAATATTAAGATATGTATGAGCTTACTTTGTAAAATGGAAAATAAAAATTGTATTAAAAAACTGAATTGAATTGAATTATTGTTTCAAAACTGTCCTTGGATTCTTGAGTGTCTAGAGATTATCTAAGAACAAATAAGACATTTTACTTCTTCATGATTTCCAAAGCAAATACATGATTTAAAGAACCCTGTTTTCTAATCTATAAAGTTCTATATCTTAGCATAAAAAGCATGCCACTCTGATGGTCTTTGTGTAATTTTTTTTTAAAAAAAATTCAACATGGTTCACTATTCCTCCATTCTCTTCTCACACGCACCCAGTAAGGTAGTTACAGTGAGGGAGAGGGAGTTGTCCAAGTTTACCCAGTGAGCTTTGTGGTTTACATGGTAACTGGTACCTGGACTTCATCCGTCTTAGTACGACACTCCAACTATTTCAGTACAATTGTTGTCCAGTGTGAAATCTTGATTCCTTCCTTCCGTTTGTCATTCTCAAAACATCATTATCGGTCAGAAGTCTTGGGGAGGCAAAATACAGGGTTCCTGAACTCCATATTTCAAATGTTTTAAATCAATAAAATATAAATAAATATTGCCCACTGCAAAGTTATCAGATTTCCAATAACAAGGACACCAGGAATCTTGGCTTTACACTCAAGCAACTTTATGAGCCTCTCTTTAATCTGGTAGAACTTGGGCAGAACTAGAAGCAGAATTTGAAACCAAGTATCAATTAGTATTCCAAAAATATCATAAATAAGCACCATACCAACCTCCCAAGCAATTATTATCCAGTCCTCAAGTTCAAAATTAGCATAAACATGCTTATTTCAAAATTAGGGTATGAACTGATAAGAAACTCACAACTACTGGTCTGGATATACCACCAGTTGATTGTTACCACACCATGGAGAATTGCATATTTTTATTTCCCCCCCTCACAGCAGATATCAAGACAAGATCAAGATGAATTATATTTATGTTCCTTATGGTTATGGAGAGTATCCAGTCTATGCCTGATCAACACAGTCCTCACCTGGTCCATGTCAAAGTCAGATTGCTATGTTTCACAGAAGCTGAGAGAAGTACCAGGAGCAGGAGGGTTTTTTAGGATGGACAATAATATGCTTGAATCTACATACCAAGTACAGTATGTATCCTTCATTCCTTTGTTCTCCGTCTTGTTCTCAGAACTCCCTGACCAATGTTCTCTGGTGCAAGAAATATCTCATTGACCCACACAATCATGACT